CTCCTTGTTGTGGAGAAATACGCTACAAAAAAAACGCTAACACGGGGTTGCCATCTCTCCGACTCTTGCGGTAATATCTCTACAGGTTAGCCCCCACTCCGCCGCCGACGGACCGCCTTCGCGGGATTTTTGTTACGGACATAGAGCAGGGAGGGGGCATGTACCGTAGGTTGCGTAAGATATCACACCCCCTGGACCAATTGTCAAAGCTCGATTACTTCACGACGAAGAGGATGCCGAAACCAAAGGATATGATTTCGGAAAGTTCTCGACGACACGGTTCCAACGCCACCATTTTCGGCACCGTTACTGCCCTTCCTGCCGAGAATTCGAGCTTCAAAAATCGCTCCAGGGGGTGTGATATTCCCTACCCCTACGAGTTGGCTCCAGTGGAGTTTTGGGGTGCAGGATCTTCATCAGAAGCAGAAAATCGGAGTCTTTGCTTGTACCTACCTGTAAATGTGACGTCGTTTGTGAAGAGAAACGTAGGGATCAAGTGAAACACGGCAGTCACATGTAACCCTAACCCCGCTTCTTTCCCCCATCGTATGCTTTGTCCAAAATGTTTGCTTATTTTACGAAAACCTGCGAAGGCTACTACTACTGCCGACAACGCCGCCGGTGACGACAACGGTAAATTGCCTCATCTTGTCACTTTTCATCCAGGGTCGGCGTGTTTTCCCGTTCCCTCCTCTCCAAACTTACCCTACCCCCGTCTTCTGTCCGCTTGACGTTTGCTTGGTGATCCACCATCGACCTTTCTTTCTTTCCACGAAAATTCCAGTTGTTCTTGGTACGGAACCGACCACCGATCTATCTGCTGCGCAACGGACGGACGCGTGGACCTGACACGGTCTAAGCCGACTTCGTGTCCCTTCTTCCGTAGCTATGTCCTCATCGCGGCGTCTCTACTTCCTCTGCCTAACGAACAGCCGCACACATTACATCCTACGCATGGAGACCGACAGGCGTCGTGTAGACGTTTTCGTTTGGGAAGGGTGTATTCGGATGATGCTCGGACCTCCGTACTCGGATGGATCTGCGGAGGAAGGGGGTCGCGATTCGTCCTGCTTCTCAGGTTTCTGCCGCTGCTGACCCAAGGATTTCCGACGGGGAGCTTCGCAGGTCCTGGAGTAGCTTCCTAACAACGCTCCGTACTACGAGAGAGACAACCACCGCTCGGCGCTGTTTGCGGCGGTCTCCTATCAACCAGCTTGCGACGAAAACACCCGTTGGGGGGCGGGGGGGCACTCGTTCCCCCTGGTATCTTTTTTCAAAGAACCTTTGTTTATGGTCGAGGCTGGTGTTCGAAAACCGGTCTAGGGGGTGTGTTATCTTGCGTCATTCCACCTCCAGCAGCACATTATACAACTAAAGAATACAGAATTGTATTCCTAGGGTCATGCTTCGAATGGCCGCTACACAGGTTGGATGGGGTTCATAAACGAGCTCACAAATGGTGCTCAAGTTCTTACATTTTTCTTCTTGAAAGCTCGATTTTTCACTGACTGCCAGTTGGACCAGCATGGATATTGGAAGGTACGGAGCGGAGACCGGAAGGGTGTGGAGCGTGAAGACCAACAACACCTAACTAACGTAGGTTGCGTGATGAGATTATCACGCCCCCTTGACCGATTTTCGAAGCTTGACTAACTACTCTTCAGGAACGGCCGTGACGGTGCCGAACTGGGCGGCGTCGGAACCGCCTCGTCAAGAGCGTTCTGAAAACGCATCATAAGTTGATTTCGCCATCCTCTTCGACGTGGGGTAGTCGAGATTTGAAAATCGGCACAGGGGGTGTGGTATCTGACGTCATGCAACCTACGGTAACTTCCCAGGTTGTTTCCCAAGAGACAAAACAAGAAACAGTTGGCGGCAGTTAGTTCTGGACTGCTTACTACGCAGATTGCTTACGCAGGATTTTAAGAGCATCTATATAGAAAAAGAATAGGGAGGGGGCACGCAGACCTTATCCCTAACCCTAACCCTAACCCCAAAGCACGGATTGAATACTTCATCCCAAATGCTTTGCTGAATCAATATTGCTGCGTAGACTACTGGCAGTTCTCCGCGAGTTAGGCCAGGAACGTTCCAAGACAGGGTGAGCGGTGATGTTTACACAAAAATGACACCGAGAGAAGAAGGAAGAAATCGCCTCCTTCTTATATCGTGTCCCGTGTCCCAACACCAGAACTTCCATCAAACTAAACAATGCGACCCTTGGGAAAAGCTCATTATGGGGGGGGGGCAGAATCCAACCGTGGGTTTCAGCTTACCTGGCAGTGGGTGGTGGAGAGGGGAATCTCGAGCCGGGTGCCGATGATGATCATCATGGCGGAACCGAGCTCGATCGCGAAACCACGGGACGGGGTGATCTTGGCGATCTTAACGCCGATGGCGGCGATGATCTTGTACCTGATGCAGCCGACGTTAGGCCAGGCAATAAAGTACGAAGCGCGAAAGGGGGAGAGGGTATCTGATGTCGAGAAAAGGTACCGGGTACATGGTACAGCGGAACTGTAGCGCACGCCGAGTGTGGTCAACATTTCAAACAATGCTGGCCACCGGCCGTCTTAAAGCTTAGCGCTTCGTGCTTGGTTCATTACCGCAGGTGGTTTCGCTTCCTTGTAGTGGTTCCGTGCCGGCTTTTCGTGATGGCTTGGTTTGTGTCTAACCTATTTCGGCTTTTCCTTACGACTTGGCAATATTCCTTACCCGTAGATGGCGAGCCCGGTAACGATACCGAAACCACCGAGAGCAAGGATCCAGAAGGCGTTGTCCCCGAGGTCGCCTTCCGAGCTGACCACGCCGGTGGTGTAGACGATGTAGATAGACGCGAAGGGTCCCATGGCGTTGGCCACGTCATTCGCTCCGTGAGAGAAGGAGTCGCAGATGGCCGTAAACACCTAAGGGGGGGTTGCGGGCGGCATGTAGAGAATTTTCCATTGAGAGAAAATGAGCGTTGGGCACGCCCGGTGCTTGTTAGCTCTTCTTTTTTTCCCATCTGCTACATACCGTAGGTTGAATAAATAAGATGTCACACCCCCTGGGCCGGTTTCGAAGCTCGACATCTCCGCAGAAAAGCAGTGACGACGCCGAAACTGGCGGCGTTGGAATCGTCTCGTCGAGAGCTAGCCAAGCGTGTTGTGATGCAACAGGACGCCCTTCTGCTGTGGGGCAGTTGTCCACAGTCGGCATGCTGCCCACTATGTTTGTCACAAGTTCACCCCCCCCCAAAAAATACCTACGGGTGCACGGTCAAGGGTTAGGGTCAGGGTCAATCGTATCACAGAGCAGAGCAACAGGGCCGACATCATCTCAGCAGGCCTCTTCCATCGTGATCTTTGTGTTGTGTCTTTAATTTTTTTACTTGCATCGACCGCGCTAACCGGCTGCCCAAAAAAAATGCTTCCGTCTCAGTGCGGTTGAAAACACAAAAGACTTCTCAAATGCCATGGGCTGGGGCGACCCCGTCCTACACCACGTCTGTTGGCGCCTTCCTTGCTGCCTTGCAATGCCCCCAAAAGCACCACCATGCAGCTGTCATCCGTATGCAAGGAAGCAAGCACAAGACGCCGAACACCCTCAGCAGGGTGCTGCGCAACCTCCATGCCACTCGCCGAACACCTTACGTGGCTTCGCGCTTGGTGATGTGAAAGATACAACCATTGTTTGGTATTGTTTGTAGACGCAGCGTCTTTTCTTCTTTTTTTCTTGGTCGGTCGCCGTCGTTTCGTCGACATTTCCTCACCTGCACGTACTTGAAGGCCTCCTCCGCGCGGGGGTCGAACTGTTCGGCGTTGTCGTGGATCTGGCTCACGTACTCCGACTCCTTGACGCTCGAGTGGACGTCCTTGTTTAACTGGTTTATCACGAACCCGACCACGCCGCTCTGCTTCTCCTTCTCCTCCACCGCTGCAACCTGGGGCATCATGATTAAAGAACCAATTTGGAATAAAAAAACAGTGAGGCTTGGGTGAAAAAATTAGCCACTTAAATTGTATATCCTCGAATCCTTGGGCATGAGAATCCTTGGGCATATGAGAAGGGCACTCGGCCGACATGGATGTCGATAAAACAATCAAACTTGGGGATTGGGTGTGAATGGAGGTGATTTTTTCCCTCCAACTAATGCAGACAAGGGGCACGCACTCGTGGATGGATGTCGAAAAAACAGAAACAAGAACGGGGATTGAGCGGGATTTGAGTTGTCATACCCTTGGGGCGTGAGACTGGAATTCAGTCAAGTTGCCGCGGATGGATGCGGATGGATGTCGAAAGACAATAAGGGGGGGCAGGATTGTGTGTGAACGAGTCCTCGTGTCCTCCATGAGAGGAATATACACTATTGAAATTCACTACGTCCGTCCTCGAACCATGGGGCATTCAGGCAGTTCCCCTGGGAACATCGGAGTTGGAGATGCACACGAAACCGCTCCTACGGTTGAGATGCGAAACCGCATCACCTTGTCTCTTGCGACGCGGCAGTGCACTCTTGACGAGATTTGTTTCACGCGAGGAGGTAGCGGGGGCCGCTTGTATTCATTCCATCCACCACATGACGGATGTCTGAGCGTCTACTCCCGCCCTGAGGGGCACCGTCGATCTACTGAGGGGAGGTGGAGGTTTCAAGATGGAAAACAGCACACACATACCGTAAGAACGCGAGAGAACGCACAGGGGTGTCAGCGTTTTTCGCTAGCGTGATAGCGTGATTTCTCCGCAACCAGGAGGGTACCACTACCGACCAGAGGTCGACCTCGGAAATATCATGTCGAGGAAGGGCTTTCCTGAGAGGTATCGGTTGGTGGTGTTCGCACCCTCCTGGTTGTGCAGCAACTCAGCTTTTGGAAAAACGCTAACAACACCCCCCCCCCGTGCGTTCTCTCGCATCCTTACCGGTGTACAACTCCTCGCACGTTTTTCTTACTGGCTTGAGGGTGCCGTCCTCGTTGAACTTGGCAGCGATGTTCCGCCGCATGTAGGGGAGCACCGTGGGGATCATGGCCAGGCCGACCCCCCCCCCCAGGCCCAAGGCCCAGGCGAACGCGACGGGGATGGTAGTGTCGTCCAGGCCAAGACCCTTGGCGCCCTTGTACACGATGAAGAAAACTGAAGCGGTAGGTCGAGAGGTAAGGGAGGGGGGGGGGGGGGTGAGCGACGAGGAGGGTAGCGCCGTGCAGGTCAAGACCCTTACTGCAACACCCCTTTGTATGTACACGATCAAGATAACTGAAACGGTAGGTCGAGAGGTAGCGGGGGGGTGAGCGACGGGGAGGGTTGTGCCGTCCATGCCAACACCCTTACTGCTGTAACACCCTTGTGCACGATAATAAAGAAAACTGAAACGGCAGGTAGAGACGTAACGGCCCTCTTTCCTCTCGGCGGTGACCAGGCAGGGGGAGGGAGGGGACGGGAGAGGCAAGGACACGCAGTTATGACATCTCGAACCACAACCCAATCCCCGTCGTTGTGGTTTCTGTTTTTTCGACATCTATCCTTTAGTGCCCCTTGTCTGCATGGGTTGCCGAGGAAATGCCGACAACTCAATTCACACCCAACCCCCAAGCTTGTTTGGTCGTAGTACATAGTACGTTTGGATTACCGGACGAAATAGTGGTCGTCAAGGTCGACATTAGTGGTCCCCTTGTTTCACGGCGAACGACGAGCAATGCTCCGCTCATTCCGTAGGTTGCATTAGGATATCACACTCCGTGGATCGACGGCCAAAGCTTGATTTCTCGGCTGGGAATCGCAGTGACGGTGCCGAAAGCGGCGGAGTTTGAATCGTCCCGCCAAGAGCTTTCCGAACACGTGTCGTTTGCCTTCGGCATCCTTTGGGTCGAAGAGAAATCGAGCTTTGAAAATCGGTCCAGGGGGTGTGGTATCTTACATCATGCAACCTACGGTACATAGGGACCGCTGGGTTGGCCTCCGAACGGAGCCCCTCACGTGTTCAAGCTCCAAAAATCGAAGAAACGTCAAAGGAACAAAAATGTTGCCTCATTTTGTTTCCGCTGAGGGCACCGTTGGCGGTCACCCGAAAGGGTCGCCCTCTTGTGGGAAAAAGGGCTCGTTCAAGCCGACAGATCGACGAAAACGGGCATGTAAATGCGTACACACCACCGGGATAATCGAATCTCACGTTTTCATCCGCATGATGTTACCTGGTACGTAGACAATACCACAACAGATACAACAACCTCATGCATGGAAAGAGATGAATTTGACATTGTGTTGTACTTGTAACACAGAGAAAGCCAGGAAAAGGGCTTACCGTTGACGGCGATGGTGGCGGTCACGAGGAAGGGGAAGACGACGATAGCCCTCTTGTGGGAGTCGGGTGAGCGGAGCACGAAGGTCCTCATGAACAGGAACAGCGCTACGGCGATCACAGCGGAGAGGACCGGGGATAGAACCCACGAGGCCACGATGGCGGAGATTCCCTGGTAGGGGGGGGGGGGGG